TTGAATACAGGTGAGGTTGAGGGAGGAATTGATTTTGTCACTTGGGAGTTGTAGTTGCTGGGATTTATAGTTCACCTACAATCAAAGAGATAGGCAGGATGCATTTCCATTCACTGGACCACATTTGGCAGAGTTACTGGTGGTAATTTGAGAGTTATACTTGCTGGGATTTATAGTTCACCTACAACCAAAGAGATAGGCAGGATGCATTTCCATTCACTGGACCACATTTGGCACAGATGCCCAATACGCCCAAATTTGAATACTGGTGGTCATTTTAGAGTTACAGTTGCTGGGATTTATAGTTCACCTACAACCAAAGAGCATTCTGAACTCCACCAATGATGGAATTGAACCAAACTTGGCACACAGAATGCCCATGACCAACAGGAAATACTGGAAGGGCTTGGTGGGCATTGACCTTGAGTTTGGGAGTTGTAGTTCACATTTTTTTTGGAGTGTGGTTCTTAATTTATGGCTATGATGGGTTCTGGTCAACCTGTCCTGTATCCAGAGGCTTTGACCTGCTAGTTCAGAGGCCTTTCAACACCTTTGGAGTCCACGTTTTCCTCTCCAGAAGCCAAACAGCCGGGGTCATTTTTCACGTTCTTCTCGGCTTAGACCGGTGTCAACGTGGGCCAACCATGGGGAGCCATGCAAGCGGTCCTTCTGGCCCCCCAATGAGGCTTCCTACCCATCTCTATCTGTCTTTATCGGTTGTTATTTACTGTCGTCTGCATTCTTGGCGGCTACTTAGGACAAGCCGCATTCTTGGAAATCCCAGACAACTGGAGGGCAGAGGAATTTTCAGAACGCTTCCCATATTCCAGCTGTGCCCAGTGGGATGGAGACCGGCCCCCAATGGGGGGTTTGGGGTCCCTTCCTTGCAAACAAACCGAGCTGGATACAGAAAAATTTATTTTATTTATTTTTCGGAGAACATAAAGTTTTCAAACTGCGGGAAGAAGCCCCACAGAATAAATCGGAATACATCTTCCTAAGCTAAAAATGTAGGCTGCAGAGTTTTCCTACAAAAGAAAGTCGTGGAAACATATAATATAATAATATAATAGTAGTATCAGGAGCCGCAATGGGTTCAACCGGCAGGACTGAAGACCGACAGGCCGGGGGTTCGAATCTGGGGAGAGCGCAGATGAGCTCCCTCTGTCAGTTCCAGCTCCCCATGCAGGGACATGAAAGAAGCCTCCCACATGGTTGGTCAAACATCCAGACATCCCTTGGGTGACATCCCTGCAGACATCCAATTCTTTCACACCGGAAGCAACTTCCGGGCAAGGTCCCCAGGGGGCAACGTCCTTGCAGACGGCCAATTCTCTCACACCGGAAGCAACTTCCGGGCAACGTCCCCAGGGTAACGTCCTTGCAGACAGCCAATTCTGCAAGAACTTCCGGGCAAGGTCCCCAGGGCAACGTCCTTGCAGACAGCCAATTCTCTCACACAGGAAGCAACTTCCAGGAAAGGTCCCCAGGGCAGCGTCCTTGCAGACAGCCAATTCTCTCACACCGGAAGTGACTTCCGGGCAAGGTCCCCAGGGCAACGTCCTTGCAGATGGCCAATTCTCTCACACCAGAAGTGACTTCTGGGCAAGGTCCCCAGGGCAACATCCTTGCAGATGGCCAATTCTCTCACACCAGAAGCTACTTCCGGGTAAGGTTCCCATGGCAACGTCCTTGCAGACAGCAAATTCTCTCACATCAGAAGTGATTTGCAGTTTCTCAAGTTGCTCCTGACATGAAAATTGTTGTTGTTATTATTATTAATTATTGTTGTTGTTATTATTATTATTATTACATTGGAGCCCCTGGTGGCGCAACGGGTTAAACCCTTGTGTCAGCAGGACTGCTGAGTAACAAGTCAGCGGTTCAAATCTGGGAAGAGCATGGATGAGCTCCCTCTGTCAGCTCCAGCTCCCCATGCAGGGACATGAGAGAAGCCTCCCACAAGGATAGTCAAACTTCAAAACATCCAGGCAACATCCCCTGGGCAAGATCCTTGCAGACGGCCCATTTTCTGACAACAGAAGCGACTTGCAGTTTCTCAAGTTGCTCCCTGGGCAACGTCCTTGTAGACGGCCAATTTTGTTACACCAGAAGCAACTTGCAGTTTCTCAAGTCGCTCCTAACGCGCACACACACAAAAAGTCTTAGTATCAGACTGGGATTCTGAGAGACCCAGGTTCGAATGCTGTCTCACTCTACATCTGAAAGGAAATTTTGCTGACATACATTGAATTTGCAGGTTTTTTTGTGCGTGGCATAGGAACTCATTTCTATTTTCCCCATGTTATTTCTGTCTCTGTCCTTACCCATTTTTTGTGGAAGAAGGAATGACCAAGCTTCATTAATGGACTTGTACTTTGTGTTTTAATGCACACACACACACACACACAGGTGTGATATGAGCTATCTGGAGTGTTGAACTTTCGACCGGAGCAAAACTCAACGAGATTTCTACAAATCCCTGGCTTTAATCATAGCTTAAGTTTGGTCCAATTCCATCATTGGCGGAGTTCAGAATGCTCTTTGATTGTGGGTGAACTAGAAATCCCAGCAACTACAACTCCCAAATGACAAGATCAATCCCCTCTCTCCCAACCTCACCAGGTGTCGCGGCATTAGGAAGATTGAGAACCGCCAGGATAGAAGTTCCTTTGCATTTGCTTTATGGAAAGGAAAATCGTACAAATGCTCTCAGCTTCTCACCTCTGAGAATGCAAAATAAATAGACAACGCGTTGCATAGTATGGCATTCCTGCATTTAACCACCATCCACAAAGTCCAGTTAAAACAGACACAAGAACCTTTTTCTGTCTCTGTTTGCCTCTCCACACTCTTTTAAGTACACTGTTTTTCACTCCTTTAAACAATGTGCTTTCAGCTCATCGGGCAGCTGAGCAAAATATCGCCACCGCTTCTCCGCGAATGTTGTTGAAACACGCATCGTCCCCGTCTCTCATTGAAAGATAATTGAGGCGGCAAACATGTATAGGCAGAGAAAGGCAGACAAAAAAGAGGAGCCAAACACGCTCGGAATCCAAGTATTTTCTTATCCTGGAAGTTTGGGGGATTTCTCCTCCATCTCTTGGCCCGGATAGAAGTTTAATTGAAGAGTGATACATACATACATACATATATATATATATGGAGACAGATTTGGACATGAATATTGTCGTCGTGGAAAGCTTCCAACTATTTTCTTTTCTCAGAACTTTTGGGGTTTGTTTCCCCATCTCTTGCCCCTGATAGATGTTTCATCAAAGAGTGATACATACATACATACATACATACACACACACGCGCATATATATATATATTTGTTGTCTTGGAATGCTTCCAACTATTTTCTTATCTCAGAAGTTTTGGGGTTTGTTTCCCCATCTCTTTCCCCAGATAGATGTTCATCAAAGAGTGATACATACATACATACATACATACATACATACATACATGTATATATATAATTGTTGTCTCGGAAATCTTCCGACTATTTTCTTATCTAGGAAGTTTTGGGGTTTGTTTCCCCATCCCTTTTCCCAGATTGATGTTTCATCGAAGAGTGATACATACATGCATACATACATAAATGCGTGTGTGTGTGTATATATTTGCCGTATTGGAAAGCTTCCAACTATTTTCTTATCTCAGAAGTTTTGGGGTTTGTTTCCCCATCTCTTTCCCTGGATAGATGTTTAATCGAAGAGTGATACATACATACACATGTGTGTGTGTGTGTGAAGAGTGATACATACAGACATACATACATGCATATGCACACATATATTTATGTATGTATGTATGTATATATAATTGTCTTGGGAAGCTTCCGACTATTTTCTTGTCTCGGAAGTTTTGGGGTTTGTTTCCCCATCTCTTTCTCCGGATAGATGTTTCATTGAAGAGTGATACATACATACATACATGCATATATACATATTCATATACATATATATATATGGAGAGAGATTTGGACATGAATATTGTTGTCTTGGAAAGCTTCCAACTATTTTCTTATCTTGGAAGTTTTGGGGTTTGTTTCCCCATCTCTTGTTCCAGATAGATGTTTCATTGAAGAGTTATGTATACATACATACATACATGTGTATGTATGTATGTATATTATTGTTGTCTTAGAATCATAGAATCAAAGAGTTGGAAGAGACCTCATGGGCCATCCAGTCCAACCCCCTGCCAAGAAGAAGGAATGTTGCATTCAAAGCACCCCTGACAGATGGCCATCCAGCCTCTGTTTAAAAGCTTCCAAAGAAGGAGCCTCCACCACACTCCGGGGCAGAGAGTTCCACTGCTGAACAGCTCTCACAGTCAGGAAAGCTTCACAGTCTTGGAAAGCTTCCAACTATTTTCTTATCTCGGAAGTTTTGGGGTTTGTTTCCCCATCTCTTTCCCCAGATAGATGTTTCATCGAAGAGTTATGTATACATACATGCACACACACACATATATATTTGGAGAGAGATTTGGATATGAATATTGGATTTTGTAATAGGAAAGCAGTGGGAAAGTCTCGGCGCTTTTGGCACAAAAGTACAAACTTTCCTCTTTTCTCATCACACAAGAAAAAGAAAACATAAATGTAAAGCCATGGATCGATGTTGAGACGAAGAGTTCTGCATACATACATGCATACATATATATATGGAGAGAGATTTGGACATCCCTGTTGCCACCTTGGATTTTGTAATAGGAGACGACGGGGAAAGTCTTGGCGTTTTTGGCGCAAAAGTACAAACTCTCCTCTTTTCTCATCACACAAGAAAACGTAAACGTAAAGCCATGGATCAATGTTGAGACAAAGAGTTCTGCATACATACATGCATATACATATGGAGAGAGATTTGGACATCCCTGTTGCCGCCTTGGATTTGGTAATAGGAGACGATGGGGAAATTCTCGCAAAGTACAAACTCTCCTCTTTCTCATCACACAAGAAAAAGCAAAGGTCAAGGTAAAGGCATTATTACCTGAGCCGGGGATGCTTTCCGACCCGACAGCATCGGCGCCTGTGCGTGTCTCTCTCCGGACTCAGAACGGCCAGGCTTTTTGTGCGCTGCTCCTCACATGGTCCGATTGCTCAGATAATGGGCTGCCAAGGAGCTCTTTAAGAAGTTTTTACGTCACGTTCTTTCTCCTTTTGTCACTCCACCCCTCCTCACTCTTCCTTCCTTCCTTCCTTCTTTCTTCTTTTTTTTTTAAATAGAGTCGAATAAACTTTCCGCAGTGCGTCCAGCAAGGAGGCACTTTTGCTCCCTCCTCTCTTGGAAGTCCAGGAATAACGGAGGAGGAGGAGGAGGAGGAGGAGGAAGGCTTTGTCGGAAGAGGGATGAGGCTAGCAAGGGTAGGGCTGAGCCGCCACCCCGAGGGGCCTCTGAGATGGGGCTGGCTGAGGCTGCAGCTATAAATGGAAGGAGGGATGGGGGAAATGGAAGGGGGAGAGACAGAGACAAAGACCCGGGAGGGGACAGGTGTCCTGAGATGGCACCAGGTAGGACGCGCAAGGGAATACTCCCCTCCCCTCCCCTCTTCTACCCCAAAGTCTGGTGGAGGATCCTTCTTTGGAGATCGTGGAAGGCTTTCATGGACAGAATCACTGGGCTCTTGTAGGTCAGTGGTTCTCAACCTTCCTAACACCGTGACCCCTGAATGCAGTCCCTCATGTTGTGTTGACCCCCAACCATAACATTATTTCCATTGCTACTTCATCACTGTCATTTTGCTCCTGTTACGAAGCATAATGTAAATATCTGATCTGCAGGATGTATTTTCATTCACTGGACCAAATTTGGCACAAATCCCTGATATGCCAAATTTGAGATTGGGGGGGGGGGGGTTCATTTTGTCATTTTGGAGTTGTATTGCTGGGATTTATAGTTCACCTTACAATATCAGCTTTCTGAACTCCAACAATGATGGAATTGAACCAAATGTGGCACCGAACTCCCATTACCAAGAAAAAATAGTGGAAGGGTTTGGTGAGCACTGACCTTGAGTTTTGGAGCTGTAGTTCACCTACATCCAAAGAGCACTGTGGACTCGGACAATGACAGATTTGGACCCAACTTGGCATGAATATTCAATATGCCCAAATGTGGACATGGTGGAGTTTGGGGAAAATAGACCTTGAAATTTGGGAGTTGTTGTTACTGGGATTTATAGTTCACTTACGATCAAAGAGCATTCTGAACCTCACCAACGTTAGAATTGTCAAACTTCTCACACAGAACTCCCATGACCAAGAGAAAATGCTATGTTTTCTGATGGGCTTTGGCAACCCTTCTGACACCCCCTCGTGACCCCCCCAGGGGTTCCGACCCCCAGGTTGAGAAACACTGTTGTAGGTTTTTCGGGCTGTATGGCCATGTTCGAGAAGCATTCTCTCCTGACGTTTCACCTGCATCTATAGCAGGCATCCTCAGAGGTTGTGAGCTGGATGGCCATCTGTCGGGGGTGCTTTGAACGCAATTGTCCTGCTTCTTGGCAGAATGGGGTTGGACTGGGTGATAGTCCACCAGGTCTCTTCCCATTCTATGATTCTGAGATTCATTTAAGTAAACATAAAGGTTTTCCCCTGACGTTAAGTCTAGTCACATCCAACTCTGGGACTCTGGTGCTCATCTCCGTTTCTAAGCCAAAGAGCCGGCGTTGTCCTTAGACACTTCCAAAGCCATGTGGCCGGCATGACTGCATGGAGCGCCGTTACCTTCCTGCTGGAGCGGTATCTATTGATCTACTCACATTTGCATGTTTCCAAACTGCTAGATTGGCAGAAGTTAGGGCTAACAGCGGGAGCTCATGCTGGCCACATAACCTTGGAAGAGGCTCTGGACAACGCCGGCGCGTCAGCTTAGAAATGGAGTTCGCATTTCGGTTAGCAAGTTCAGCAACTCAGCGGTTTAATCCACTGCGCCACTGGGGGCTCCCAAGGTAAAGGTGTTCCGCTAACATTAAGCCCAGTCGAGTCCGACTCTGGGTCTCTGGTGCTCATCTCCATTTCTAAACTGAAGAGCCTGTGTTGTTCGTAGACACCTCCAAGGTCATGTGGCCACTGGCATGACTGCATGGAGCGCCCTTATCTTCCCTATTGATCTACTCCCATTTGCATGTTTTCAAACTGTTAGGTTGGCAGAAGCTGGGCCTAACAGCAGGAGCTCACCCTGCTCCCCAGATTCGAACCTGTGACCTTTTGGTGAACAAGTTCAGCAGCTCAGTGGTTTAATCTGCTGCACCACTTGGGGCTCTCAAGATAAATAGACATTAAATCTATTTGTGTCCGACTCTGGGACTCTGGTGCTCATCTCCATTTCTAAGCTGAAGAGCCGGCGTTGTCCATAGACGCCTCGAAGGTCATGTGGCCACTGGCATGACTGCATGGAGCGCCCTTATCTTCCCTATTGATCTACTCCCATTTGCATGTTTTGGAACTGCTAGGTTGGCAGAAGCTGGCCCTAACAGACTACGTTATCATCAACATATTGGAGTTCTATAACTGATGTTGTTGTGACCTTGGCTTTGGCTTTCAGTCTGTTGAGGTTAAATAGCTTGCTGTCTGATCGATAATCTAGTTGAAAGCAGATAATTTGGATTTCATATAGCAGTGTAGATGGAGCAAGACAGCGCCGTTACCTTCCCACCGAAGCAGTATCTATTGATCTACTCACATTTGCATGTTTTGGAACTGCTAGGTTGGCAGAAGCTGGCCCTAACAGACTACGTTATCATCAACATATTGGAGTTCTATAACTGATGTTGTTGTGACCTTGGCTTTGGCTTTCAGTCTGTTGAGGTTAAATAGCTTGCTGTCTGATCGATAATCTAGTTGAAAGCAGATAATTTGGATTTCATATAGCAGTGTAGATGGAGCAAGACAGCGCCGTTACCTTCCCACCGAAGCAGTATCTATTGATCTACTCACATTTGCATGTTTTGGAACTGCTAGGTTGGTAGAAGCTGGACCTAACAGTGGGAGCTCACCCTGCTCCCTGGAATCCAACCTGTGACCTTTTGGTCAGCAATTTCAGCAGCTCAGCAGTTTAATCTGCTGCACCACTGGGGGCTCCCAAGGTAAAGGTGTTCTGCTGGCAATAAGTCCAGTTGAGTCCGACTCTGGTGCTCATCTCCATTTCTAACTGCTAGGTTGGCGGGAGCTGGGGCTAACAGCGGGAGCTCACCCCGCTCCCCGGATTCTAAGCTGAAGAGCCGGCGTTGTCCGTAGACCCCTCCAAGGTCATGTGGCCACTGGCATGACTGCATGGAGGGCCCTTATCTTCCCTATTGACCTACTCACATTTCCATGTTTTGGAACTGCTAGGTTGGCAGAAGCTGGGCCTAACAGTGGGAGCTAACCTGCTCCCCGGAATCGAACCTGTGATCTTTCAGTCAGCAAGTTTAGCAGCTCAGCAGTTTAATCCACTGCACCACCTGGGAGTCCCAAGGTAAAAGCTGGTGCTCATCTCCATTTCTAAGCCAAGAGCCAGCGTTGTCCGTAGACACCTCCAAGGTCATGTGGCCACTGGCATAACTGCATGGAGTGCCCTTATCTTCTCTATTGATCTACTCACATTTGCATGTTTTCGAACTGCTAGATTGGCAGGAGCTGGTCCTAACAGTGGGAGCTCACCCCGTCCCCCAAATTTGAACCGATGACCTTTTGGTCAGCAAGTTGAGCAGCTCAGCGATTTAACCCACTGCACCCCTGACATTACGTCCAATCATGTCCAACTCAGTAGTGGTGCTTATTTCCATTTCTAAGCCCAAGAGCCGGCGTTCCTGTCTCTTTCTCGGAGATTTCTCGGAGAGGGTTTGCTGCCGCCATCTAGAGCTTTGTGATGGGAGTGTGCTCTTGAGGTCCTGAAAACTGTCATGCAAATAGCACTGGTGGAGCATCCTTTCTCCCAAAATTTGCAATACTTCAGAATCCAAACTGCCAAGGCTCCTAAAATGAATGCCTTGGATCTTCTAAAAAATGCAGGCTTGGATCCCAATCCCATCTTGCAGGATGCGGAGAGGTGGAAAATGGGATCCGGATTCGGTTCCGTCCAGTGCGGAATCACTCACGCGTTTCCATCCTAGAGTTGTGAAACCCTAGGAAAAGAAGAGCAACAGGATGCAGACAATGCCTGGGGTGTTAAATATAGCCGTGGCTTCTTTCGTGGTCGTGGCACATCCTTGTTTGGCTGGGCAGAGACGCCGAGGAATTTGGAGCCGAAAGCCATTCAGTCCCACCGTCTGACCTCGCAGTGACCGCCGGGAGATGGCCGAGCAAGGCCAAAACTCACAAACTGGATTCCAGCAGCGATTCATGGAAGGGAGAGCACAACATGTATGGCCACGTACCAGAAGCATTCTCTCCTGACGTTTTGCCTCCATCTCTAGCAGGCATCCTCTCTTGGAAACTAGGAAATTGGGGTTTATATATCTGGAATAATATCTAAGGTTGGAGAAAGAACTCTTGCCTGTTGGAGCTGGGTGTGTTTCAACTGGCCACCTTGATTAGCATTTAAAGTTGTGGCTTTTACTGCCTGGGGGAATCCTTTGTTGAGAGGTGGTTACTGCCCCTGGTGGTTTCTTGTCTGGAGTTCCCCTGATGTTGAATGTCGTTCTTTCTCCCACCCTGGACATTCCACAGATATATAAATCCCACTCTTGTCTGTTGGAGCTGGGTGTGAATGTTTCAATTGGCTGCCTTGATTAGCATTTAAAGGTGTGGCACCTTACTGCCTGGGGGAATCCTTTGTTGGGAGGTGATTAGCTGTTCCTGATGGTTTCCTGTCTGGAGTTCCCCGTCTTTATTTACTGTTATGATTTTAGAGTTTTTAAATACATGTGGCATTCTCTCCTGACGTTTTGCATGTGACTTCTTACTGCCTGGGGGAATCCTTTGTTGAGGTGATTAGCTGTCCCTGATGGGTTCTTGTCTGGATTTCCCGTTTTTCAGTGTTGTTCTTTCTCCCACCCTGGACATTATTCCACAGATCATGGAATTGGCCACCTTGGTGAGCATTTAATGGTCTAGCAGTTTTCAAGGTGTGATGTCTTACTGCCTGGGGGAATCCTTTGTTGAGGTGATTAGCTGTCCTTGATGGTTTCCTGTCTTGAGTTCCTGTCTTTATTTACTGTTATGATTTTAGAGTTTTTAAATACTGGTAGTATTCTCTCCTGACGTTTCGCATGTGACTTCTTACTACCTGGGGGAATCCTTTGTTGAGGTGATTAGCTGTGCCTGATGGTTTCTTGTCTGGAGTTCCCTTGATTTTGAATGTTGTTCATTCTCCCACCCTGGACGTTCAACAGATATATAAATCCCACTCTTGTCTGTTGGAGGAAGGTGTGAATGTTTGAATTCGCCACCTTGATTAGCATTCAAAAGCGTGCCTTCTTACTGCCTGGGGGAATCCTTTGTTGGGAGGTGATTAGCTGTCCCTGGTGGTTTCTAGTCTGGACTTCCCCTGTCTTTATTTATTATGGATTGATAACAGGACATTATTATTATAGATTGATAACAGGACACACAAAAACTCATTCAAGCCAGGTGTATTTAATTCAAACGCTTCATTAGCACCATGTAAGTTGTCAACAGCGTTCCAATAAAATGCAGTTATTAGGGCTTTTTTGCTTTTGAAAAAAAAATTCAGGCAAGAACTGGACATTCTTGAAGTGAGCCTCAAAATCCATTTAGAGGTTGGGATGTTGTAAGTTTTTCGGGCTGTGAGGCCATGTTCCAGAAGCATTCTCTCCTGACATTTCACCCACATCTCTGGCAGGCATCCTCAGAGGTTGTGAGGTCCCTTGGAAACGAGGAAAGTGGGGTTTACATATCTACCTGTGGGATAACATCCAGGGTGGGAGAAATAACTCTTGTCTGTTTCAGGTAGGTCTAAATGTTTCAACTGGCCACCTTGATGAGTATTTAACAGCCTAGCAGTTTTCAAGGTGTGGCTTCTTACGGCCTGGGGGAATCCTTTGTTTAGAGATGATTAGCTGTCCCTGATGGTTTTTTGTTTGGAGTTCCCCTGTTTTTATTTACTGTTATGATTTTAGAGATTTTAAATGCTTGTGGCATTCTCTCCTGACGTTTCACGTGCGACTTCTTACTGTCTGGGGGAATCCTTTGTTCAGAGGTTATTAGCTGTCCCTGATGGTTTCTTGTCTGGAGTTCCCCTGTTTTTATTTACTGTTGTGATTTTAGAGTTTTTAAATAATGGTAGCATTCTTTCCTGGCATTTCGCATGACTTCTTACTGCCTGAGGGAATCCTTTGTTGAGAGGTGATTAGCTGCCCCTGATGGTTTCTTGTCTGGAGTTCCCCTGTCTTTATTTACTATTATGATTTTAGAGTTTTTAAATACTGGTAGCATTCTTTCCTGGCGTTTCGCATGTGACTTCTTACTGCCTGAGGGAACCCTTTGTTGAGAGGTTATTAGCTGCCCCTGATGGTTTCTTGTCTGGAGTTCCCCTGTCTTTATTTACTATTATGATTTTAGAGTTTTTAAATACTGGTAGCATTCTTTCCTGGCGATTTGCATGACTTCTTACTGCTAATAACCTCTCAACAATAACCTTTGTTGAGAGGTTATTAGCTGTCCCTGATTGTTTCTTGTCTGGGGTTTATATATCTGTGGAATAATCTCCAGGTTGGAAGAAAAAACTTCCTTCTGGAGGTAGGTGTGACTGTTCCCATTGGCCACCTTGATGAGCATTGAATGGCCAAGCAGTTTTCAAGGTGTAGCTTCTTACTGCCTGAGGGAATCCTTTGTTGAGAGGTTATTAGCTATCCCTGATGGTTTCTTGTCTGGAGTTTCCCTGTCTTTATTTACTGTTATGATTTTAGAGTTTTTAAATAATGGTAGCATTCTTTCCTGGCATTTCGCATGACTTCTTACTGCCTGAGGGAATCCTTTGTTGAGAGGTGATTAGCTGCCCCTGATGGTTTCTTGTCTGGAGTTCCCCTGTCCTTATTTACTGTTATGATTTTAGAGTTTTTAAATACTGGTAGCATTCTTTCCTGGCATTTCGCATGTGACTTCTTACTAACTGAGGGAATTCTTTGTTGAGAGGTGATTAGCTGTCCCTGATGGTTTCTTGTTTGGAGTTCCCTTGTTTTTGAAAGTTGTTCTTTTTCCTATCCTGGACATTATTCCACAGATATAGAAACCCCATTTTCCTAGTTTCCAACAGACCTCACAACCTCCGAATGCCTGCCATAGACGTGGGTGAAACATCAGGAGAGAATGCTTCTGGAACATGGCCAGACAGCTCAAAAACTCACAGCAACCCAGTGATTCTGGCTATGAAAGCCTTCGACAATACATTTCAGGCAAGAACTGGACATTCTTGAGTCGAGCCTCAAAATCCATTTGGAGGTTGTTGACGGAAGGGTGCAAGGAGAGAGGGCAAGAGAGGGAGGGAGGGATCCTATGGCTATGACTTGGAATCCTTGCTCAGCCGGAAAGTAAACAAGAAGCAAGACAGACTGGGTAAGAAAGGGACTGCAGCAGCCCTACAATTATTCCTTATTCTTGGCATTGCTTATTCAGTCTTGGAAAACTGTCATCCCGAGAACCGGGAAAACCGTCATCCCGAGAACGAGAAAACCGTCATCCCGCGAACCGGGAAAACCGTCATCCCGAGAACTGGGAAACGGTCATCCCGAGAACCTGGAAAACGGTCATCCTGGGAAAACGGGTCATCCCGAGAACCAGGAAAACGGTCATCCCGAGAACCGGGAAAACTGTCATCCCGAGAACCTGGAAAACGGTCATCCTGGGAAAATGGGTCATCCCGAGAACCTGGAAAACGGTCATCCCGAGAACCGGGAAAACCGTCATCCCGAGAACCGGGAAAACCGTCATCCCGAGAACCGGGAAAACCGTCATCCCGAGAACCTGGAAAACCATAATCCCAGGAAAACGGTCATCCCAAGAACCGGGAAAACCGTCATCCCGAGAACCGGGAAAACGGTCATCCCGAGAACCTGGAAAACGGTCATCCTGGGAAAACGGGTCATCCCGAGAACCGGGAAAACGGTCATCCCGAGAACCGGGAAAACTGTCATCCCGAGAACCTGGAAAACGGTCATCCTGGGAAAATGGGTCATCCCGAGAACCTGGAAAACGGTCATCCCGAGAACCGGGAAAACCGTCATCCCGAGAACCGGGAAAACCGTCATCCCGAGAACCTGGAAAACCGTAATCCCAGGAAAACGGTCATCCCAAGAACCGGGAAAACCGTCATCCCGAGAACCGGGAAAATCGTCTTCCCAAGAACCGGGTGTAGGCTCATCTCTTTTTCTATGCAAGGTTTGCTCAGAAACAAGTTAGGAGAATCATTTCAAAGAAGGGTTTCTTTGTTCTGCAAAGGAAGGTGGGCCGTACTACAAAGGGAAAGCGTACGTGGTTGCGGCATCGCTCCGTCCCCGTTCCTTCAAAAGAAGCCTGAAATCCCACTCTTCCACGGACGTCCCGGCAGAGGGACTTTGGCTCCCGGTTCCCTTCCCACACATAACATACACACACTACGGTTGCGTCAAAGCCGACCAGAAGGACTCCCGCGCCTTTCCCTCCCGCCCAAGTTCACTTGGCCAGCGCCCCCATGGGATCCCAGGCCGGCAGGACGATGGGCTCCTGGCGCAAGACCTCCAGGACCTCCTCCGGCACGTGCTTCCGGTCCACCACCACCTCGTAGACGTACTCCGAGAACCACTCGTCCGTCATGATGAGGTAACCTGGGGAAAGAGGAAATCGGAGAAGTTCAAAACGTTGGAGCAACAAATACACTTTGGGTGCAACCTGTCTTCGAGGCCGCATCTCTTTCGGCGAACCCGCACGGGCTCTCGGTCTAGAGAAGTCATGCTACCCACGCTCTATTCTGCCTCAGTCAGACCACTTCACCTGGAATCACATTGTGGGCATGTTTAGCCTGCAGAAGGCAAGGCTGAGAGGAGACATGAGCGAGGGTTCTATGTCTTTATGCGATTCGCTCTGTGCCAGGGCTCACCCTCCACTCTGCCCGGCATCCACTTCCTAACGAGAAGCATCTAGGCTAGCTTAAATATCCCTTTCCCCATCCCTGCCCCCAAAGTATAAAAAGATTTCCACCTTGATCTGCAAACAATCTCATAAAATACACAAAGAAATATGTTTTCTGCGTGTGTGTTTGAATTGCAACCTGTGAACAAATGTGATTGGTAAAACATCAAAACATCTTGGCAACGTCCACAGGGCAAGGTTCTTGCAGACGGCCAATTCTCTCACACCAGAAGCAACTTCCGTGCAAGGTCCCCAGTGTAAAGTCCTTGAAGACAGCCAATTCTCTCACACCGGAAGCGACTTCCGAGCAACTTCCTTGCAGACGGCCAATTATCTCACACAGGAAGCAACTTCCGGGTAGGTCCCCAGGGCAATGTCCTTGCAGATGGCCAATTCTCTCACACCGGGAGCGACTTCCGGGCAATGTCCCCAGGGCAACGTCCTTGCAGACAGCCAATTCTCTCACACCAGAAGCAACTTCCGGGCAACGTCTCCAGGGCAACCTCCTTGCAGACCGCCAATTCTCTCCCACCAGAAGCGACTTCCGGGAAAGGTCCCCAGGGCAACATCCTTGCAGACGGCCAATTCTCTCCCACCAGAAGTGACTTTCGGGCAACGTCCCCAGGGCAACGTCCTTGCAGACGGCCTATTCTCTCACACCAGAAGCTACTTCTGGGTAAGGTTCCCAGGGCAACGTCCTTGCAGACAGCCAATTCTCTCCCACCAGAAGCTACTTCCAGGAAAGGTCCCCAGGGCAACCTCCTTGCAGACGGCCTATTCTCTCACACCGGAAGCGACTTCTGGGCAAAGTCCCTAGGGCAACGTCCTTGCAGACGGCCAATTCTCTCACACCAGAAGTGACATCTGGACAACGTCCTTGCAGACGGCCAATTCTCTCACACCAGAAGTGACATCTGGGCAACGTCCTTGCAGACAGCCAATTCTCTCCCACCAGAAGCTACTTCCAGGAAAGGTCCCCAGGGCAACCTCCTTGCAGACGGCCTATTCTCTCACACCGGAAGCGACTTCTGGGCAAAGTCCCTAGGGCAACGTCCTTGCAGACGGCCAATTCTCTCACACCAGAAGTGACATCTGGACAACGTCCTTGCAGACGGCTAATTCTCTCACACCGGAAGCGACTTCTGGGCAACGTCCCCAAGGCAACGTCCTTGCGGACGGCCAATTCTCTCACACCAGAAGTGACTTGCAGTTTCTCAAGTTGCTCCAGACATGAAAATTGTTGTTATTATTATTGTTATTATTATTATTACATTGGAACCCCTGGTGGCGCAATGGGTTAAACAGAAATATGTTTTCTGCGTGTTTGTTTGCATTGCAACCTGTGAACAAATGTGATTGGTACCGGAAACACCGAGTCTGGAACGGTGCTGAACTGGCCATCCTAAGTGCTGACCAGTCCCGTTTCAGATGGGAAACGTCCCAGCGAGCGGTGAGGTCAGTGGAAGGCACCCTTGCCTAGATCCCAGCCTTTGCTTTCCGCACAATCTGGGACGACAGGCCAAGGAAGCCGGGCCTCCCCCCGCCAACTGGGACTCTAATCTGGCCTTGGTTGTTGTTTCAGGCCGTCCCGGCCACCCCTCTCGCGTTGGGCTTGTTATTTCAAACTCTGCGCATGGAGCGTTCGTTCCAACTCTAACATCCTCATTCTTCACCTCTTCCTTAACAACAGGGTTGCCAGACCGCCGCTCTGCTGCTGCCCAGAAGCCAAGCGGCCAGCCCTGAAATCTTACTGGAGAGGTCAGAGCTCCAAAGCTCCCTTTCTTGCTATGCCATTTTTGGGTTTTAGGGGTCTTGGAAAGGCTATATGGAGCCCCTGGTGGCTCCAACTGGAGGTCAGCTGTGACCAGCAGTGCTGCAGAATTCGAAGAGGCACAAATGGAAGGCACAAGGGAGAAAGGTGTGGATCAAGAATAGGACTCCACCATCCTCAGGCTACGAGGGATCACCTAAGAAAAGCCTAAAGAGCTCTGGAATCACGCCCCACAAATCACTGTTGCCTTGGAATTGCCTTTTTTATGACTAGCACCCCTGTTGACAGTAGGTTAAATCGCTTAGCTGCTGAACCTGCTGACCAAAAGGTCAGCAGTTCAAATCTGGGGAGCGGGGTGAGCTCCTGCTGTTAGCCCCAGCTCCTGCTAACCTGGCAGTTTGAAAACATGCAAATGTGAGCAGATCAATAAGGTAAGGATGCTCTATGCAGTCATGCCAGTGACCACATGACCTTAGAGGTGTCTATGGACAATGCCGGCTCTTCAGCTTAGACTCCGGGAAGCGGAGTGAGCTCCCGCTGTTAGCCCCAGCTCTTGCCAACCTAGCAGTTTGAAAACATGCAAATGTGAGTAGGTCAATAGGAAATGTAAGGACGTTCCATGCAGTCATGCCAGTGACCACATGACCTTAGAGGTGTCTACGAACAATGTCGGCTCTTCGGTTTAGAATCCAGGGAGCGGGGGAAATGCTCCCGCTGTTAGCCCCAGCTCCTGCCAACCTAGCAGTTCAAAAACATGCAAATGTATAATATCATTAATAATAGGGTCCCCTGGTGGTGCAGTGGGTTAAACCGCTGAGATGCTGAACTTGCTGACCAATAGGTCAGCGGTTCAAATCTGGGGAGCTGTGTGAGCTCCCGCTGTTAGCCCCAGCTTCTGCCAACCTAGCATTTCGAAAACATGCAAATGTTAGTAGGTCAACAGGTATTGCTCTGGCGGGAAAGCAACGGCGTTCCATGCTGGCCACATGACCTTGGAGGTGTCTATGGACAACGCCAGCTTTTTGGCTTAGAAATGGAGATGAGCACCACCCTCAGAGTCGGACAAAACTGGACTTAATGTCAGGAAGAAAACCTTTACCTTTACTAGGTTGGCAGAAGCTGGGGCTAACAGCGAGAGCTCACCCAGAATCCCAGAGTTGGACACAACCAAACTTAAAAAGGCTTTACGATGTCCAGTTTCCCCTGGACCCCACCGGGAGTGTTCTGCTCCAGAAAGCAAGTTTTGAGAGACCTTGGGAACGCTCCGAGCAAGGCATTAGCCAGAGGACCCGTTTTTGCCTGGTTGGTGAAAGGAACCGGAGAGATTAAATTAGGATTAAAGCTGCCTAGGGCCCAGAGCCTGACTTTGCCTTTCCAGAAACAAATCCACCGATGCGTGGCTTAATCTCTGGCTATTGTAATAGAAAGCGAGAAGGGGCCGATGGAGGCTTGGACGCCGCTGCAAGCTGGACGAGGCCAAGTTTTGAGGAATGCCTGTAATCCAGCGAGCGCCTTTTGCCCGGTTATTTTTAAACCCTCGTGGTTCAGGCTCCTCTTTTGTGGTTAACAGCAGGGGTGCCGGGTCAACAGCGTGGGAGCGAGAGTGTTTGTACTGCCACAGCAACTCCAAAAACTCGGGATATTTAGCGCTCTAATAAAACAGGGCGGCCAACCAAGACTATAAATAGGGGAGGGACGGCCTTTTCCCTGCATCCAAATCTGGATTGCATTGTATTTGCCTTTTCTGCTGTTGCACCTTAATTATCTGAAACTGGTTGGCATGGCATATATCAACCATAAGGCGGTACCTACATTCCCTCCTTGACAGATGCAACTGTCTTTCAGGCTGCATAGGTCAACAGAAAGCTAGACTATTAATGGTCGGGAGCTCACTCCAAGCTGGGCTGACCTTCTGTGTCTGTTTATGTATGTTGTATGTCTAATGGCATTGAATGTTTGCCATGTATATGTGCATTGTAATCCGCCCTGAGTCCCCTGCGGGGTGAGAAGGGCGGAATATAAATACTGCAAATAAATAAATAAATAAATAAAGGCTGGATGGCCATATGTCGGGGGTGCTTTGAATGCGACTGTGGACTGCCTACAGACGTCGCACTCAACGTGGACTGTCTACAGACGTCGCACTCAAAGTGGACCGTCTACAGACGTCACACTCAACGTGGACTGTCTACAGACGTCGCACTCAACCTGGACCGTCTACAGACGTCGCACTCAACCTGGACCGTCTACAGACGTCGCACTCAACCTGGACCGTCTACAGACGTCGCACTCAACCTGGACCGTCTACAGACGTCGCACTCAACTGGACCGTCTACAAACATCGCACTCAACATGGACTGTCTACAGACGTCGCACTCAACGTGGACTATCTACAGACTTCGCACTCAACGTGAACTGTCTACAGATGTCGCACTCAACGTGGACTGTCTACAGACGTCACACTCAACGTGGACTGTCTACAGACGTCGCACTCAACCTGGACCGTCTACAGACGTCGCACTCAACATGGACTGTCTACAGACGTCGCACTCAACGTGGACTGTCTACAGATGTCGCACTCAATATGGACTGTCTACAGACGTCACACTCAACGTGGACCGTCTACAGACGTCACACTCAACCTTGACCGTCTACAGACGTCGCACTCAACCTGGACCGTCTACAGACGTCGCACTCAACCTGGACCGTCTACAGACGTCGCACTCAACTGGACCGTCTACAAACATCGCACTCAACATGGACTGTCTACAGACGTCGCACTCAACGTGGACTATCTACAGACTTCGCACTCAACGTGAACTGTCTACAGATGTCGCACTCAACGTGGACTGTCTACAGACGTCACACTCAACGTGGACTGTCTACAGACGTCGCACTCAACCTGGACCGTCTACAGACGTCGCACTCAACTGGACCGTCTACAAACATCGCACTCAACGTGGACTGTCTACAGACGTCGCACTCAACGTGGACTATCTACAGACTTCGCACTCAACGTGAACTGTCTACAGATGTCGCACTCAATGTGGACTGTCTACAGACGTCACACTCAACGTGGACTGTCTACAGGTGTTGCACTCAACGTGAACTGAGCAGACGTCACACTCAACGTGGACTGTCTACAGATGTTGTATTCAATGTAGACTGTCTACAGATGTTGCACTCAATGTGAACTGTCTACAGACTTGCTGGAAGTAGAAGCAAAGATCACCAATATGGAAGTGATGCTCCTCCGCCATGAACTTCGCTGGACTGATGGCCACGTTGTCCGAACACCCAAAGATCACGGTCTCCCAAAGTAGTGACTCTACTCCCAACGGGAAACGTAACGATGGTGGACAGGAAAGGGGATTGAAAGATGGGCTTAAAGCCAAGCCTAAAAATTGTGGCAAAGACACAGAGAGAGAACTGGGAAGCCCTGGCCCCTGAGTGCTCTTACTGGAGTTCAGCTGTGACCAGCAATGCTGCGGAATTCGGAGAGACACAAACAGAGGGCGAAGGGGAGAAACACGCCAAGAGGAAGAAGGCGCATCAAGCCAACCCTGATGGATGGGTTCATCTTTGGGTCAAGGAAAGACTTGAAAACACAGAACAGCCAGCCCCAGATCAGAAGAATGAAATCTGATGCAAAGAAGCGTCCGGGCCACTGCTTGGAAAGACGGGGAAATGTGATTTTTTGTAAACTTCTGACCGTCAGACCACAGAATATGAGCTCTGCCTTGAACATCCATCAACTCTCCGGCCCAGAACAAACAGAAGAAGTTCAGCGTCAGAGAAGCAAATTCCATCTTGACCAGAATGGAGGTCTGCAAAAGGCCAGATCTCAATGTAAACACTCCCATCAGTTCCTGCTAAAATGGCCAACAGCAAGGGTGATGGGAGATGTAATCCAACAACATCTGGAAAGTTGTGGTTTCCCCACCTTCAGTGGGAATCATGCAACCAACTGGATTTATTTTTAGTCTTATTTTGTGTCAGGAGCAACTTGAGAAACTGCAAGTCGCTCCTGGTGTGAGAGAATTGGCCATCTGCAAGGACGTCGCCCAGAACTGGCCGTCTGCAAGGACATTGCCCAGGGGACATTCCCCAGAATTAGCCGTCTTCAAAGATGTTGCCCAGGGGACGTTGCCCAGAATTGTCCGTCTGCAAGGACGTTGCCCAGGGGATGTTGCCCAGAATTGGCCATCCACAAGGACGTTGCCCAGAATTGACCATCTGCAAGGACGTTGCCCAGGGGATGTTGCCCAAAATTGGTCGTCTGCAAGGACTTTGCCCAGAATTGACCATCTGCAAGGACATTGCTTAGGGGATGTTGCCCAGAATTGGTCGTCTGCAAGGATGTTGCCCAGAATTGACCATCTGCAAGGACGTTGCCTAGGGGACGTTGCCCAGAATTGGCTGTCTGCAAGGACATTGCCCAGAATTGGCYGTCTGCAAGGAMGTTGCCCAGAATTGGCCGTCTGCAAGGACGTTGCCCAGAATTGGCCGTCTGCAAGGACATTGCCCAGAATTGGCCGTCTGCAAGGACGTTGCCCAGAATTGACCATMTGCAAGGACGTTGCCTAGGGGATGTTGCCCAGAATTSGCTGTCTGCAAGGACGTTGCCCAGAATTGAYCATCTGCAAGGACGTTGCCCAGGGGACGTTGCCCAGAATTGGCTGTCTGCAAGGCCATTGCCCAGAATTGGCCATCTGCAAGGATGTTGCCCAGAATTGGCTGTCTTCAAGGACGTTGCCCACAGGATGTTGCCCAGAATTGGCCGTCTACAAGGACATTGCCCAGAATTGACCGTTTGCAAGGACGTTGCCCAGGGGACATTGCCCAAAAGAGGCTGTCTGCAAGGACATTGCCCAGGGGATGTTGCCTGGATGTTTTCATGTTGTATCATCCTTGTGGGAGGCTACTCTCATGTCCCTGCATGGGGAGCTGGAGCTGACAGAGGGAGCTCATCTGCACTCTCCCCCTATTCTGACCTGTTGGTCTTAGTCCTGCCAGCACAAGGGTTTAACCCTTTGTACCACCGGAGGCGCCTCATACCAACTGCATGATAGTAGACGATAGCCCCCAGAATCCCTGACTAGGACTGATGGGAACCGTGATCCTAGAAATTGGGCCAGTTACTTCCTTCTCTGGCTCTGAAAGGAGCGACCACAGAAGTCACCCTTCTGTTGTTGTATTTTGTTCACAAAGGTGAATGAACTTTTCTCACTGGAAATGCAATTACATCGAGCGCACGAGGAATGCGAGGCAATTAGCGACAGCCTTTGTGTGCTGGGCTCTGGCCTTCTCATTGAGCTCTGCCATAAATCCTCCATCCTGGGATTTTTCTAATCTCTGCCTTATGACCCGGGGTAATTAACAGGAGCGTGGAGGCAGGAAACGCCGCTCAGGGTCAATGACCCACCCTTTGGATGGAAGGACCCCAAATCTTGGATCTCCTCCTCCAAACCTTTGCCCATAGGGTTGTTGTAATGTTCCAGAAGCATTCTCTCCTGACGTTTCACCCACATCTATGGCAGGCATCCTCAGAGGTTGGGAGGTCTGTTGGAAACTAGGAAAATTGAGTTTATATATCTGTGGAATAATGTCCAGGGTGGGAGAAAGAACAACATCCAAAAACTGGGGAACTCCAGACATGAAAACATCAGGGACAGCTAATCACCTCTCAACAAAGGATTCCCCCAGGCAGTAAGAAGTCACAAGCAAAACATCAGGAGAGAATGCTACCAGTATTAAAAACTCTAAAATCATAACAGTAAATAAAGACAGGGGAACTCCAGACAAGAAACCATCAGGGACATCTAATCACTTCTCAACAAAGGATTCCCCCAGGCAGTAAGAAGTCACAAGCAAAACGTCAGGAGAGAATGCTACCAGTATTAAACCACTCTAAAATCATAACAGCAAATAAAGACAGGGGAACTCCAGACAAGAAACCATCAGGGACAGCTAATAACCTCTCAACAAAGGATTCCCCCAGGCAGTAAGAAGTCATAAGTGAAACATCAGGAGAAAATACTACCAGTATTTTAAAAAACTAAAATCATAACAGTAAATAAAGACAGGGGAACTCCAGACAAGAAACCATCAGGGACAGCTAATCACCTCTCAACAAAGGATTCCCTCAGGCAGTAAAAGATCACACCTTGAAACTGCTAGGCATCATTTATATATCTGTGGAATGATCTCCAGGGTGGGAGAAAAAATTCATGTCCGTTGGAGGTAGGTGTGAATGTTCCCATTAGCCACCTTGATTAATATTGAATGGCCTGACAGTTTTCAAGGTGTCGCTTCTTACTGCCTGGGGGAATCCTTTGTTGAGAGGTGATTAGCTGTCCCTGACTGTTTTTTGTCTGGAGTTCCCCTGTTCTTTGCTTTCTGTTATGATTTTAGAGGTTTGTTTAATACTGATAGCCCGATTTTGTTCATTTTCATGGTTGCACGCAAAAAGCAGGGGAACTCCAGACAAGAAATAATCAGGAATAGCTAACACCTCCTAACAAAGGGGTCCCCCAGGCAGTAAGAATCTACATCTTGAAACTGCTAGGCCATTAAATGCCAATCCAGGTGGCTAATTGAAACATTGATGCCTACCTCCAACAGACAAGATTTCTTTCTCCCACCCTGGACATTATTCCAAAGATAATGGCAGTAAACAGCCAGACCTTGATGCTGCAAAGCTATTAAATGCTAATCAAGGTGGCCAATTGAAACATTCAGACCTACCTCCCAACAGACAAAGAGTTCTTTCTCCCACCATGGACATTATTCCACAGGTTTATTACCCCCAATTTTCCTAGTTTCCAACAGACCTCACAACCTCTGAGGATGCCTGCCATAGATGTAGGAGAAACATCAGGAGAGAATGCTTCTGGAACATGACTAGACAGTCCGGAAAACTCACAGCAACCCAGTGATTCTGGCCATGAAAGCCTTTGACAATATCTTTGCCCGTACTTTGCAGGAGGTGAACCCCCGAAGGTGAAACGAAAGTCCGGGTCTAAGGAACGCCTTACCTTTGTTTCCACGTTCTTCACCCCAGGAGTTCTCCACACGCCATTTTTCAAAGCTGCCCTCTTTGTCTTCCTGAAAAGGCAAAAATGTGGACGTAAAGAAACGCCTCACTCCACACTTAAACTTGGAATAATGCACATTTACAGGAGAGAGAAATAGAAGTATTCTGGAGAGAGATCACCGAACTGTATGTAGAGTTGGCAGTAAAACTCAAACACAGGGGAACTCCAGACAAGAAACAATCAGGGACAGCTAATCACCTCCCAACAAAAGATTCCCCCAGGCAGTAAGCAGCCAGATCTTGGAGCTGAAAAGCTATTCAATGCTAATCAAGGTGGCCAATAGCAAGATTCACACTTGCCTCCAACAGACTTCTTTCTTCCACCCTGGACATTATACCATAGATAGATAGATAGATAGATAGATAGATAGATAGATAGATAGATAGATAGATAGATAGATAGATAGATACCTCACTTGCCTAGTTTCCAACAGACCTCACAACCTCTGAGGATGCCTGCCATAGATGTGGGCAAAACATCAGGAGAGAATGCTTCTGGAACATGGCCAGGCAGCCAAGAAAACTCACAGCAACCCAATAATAATAATAATAATAATAATAATAATATAGAAGTACAATAATATATTATTATTATTATTATTATTATTATTATTATTATAGTATTATATTATAAGAATAGTATAATATAATAATAACATATTATAATAGAATAATAATATAGTATAATAAAAATATAATAGTAGTATAATACTAGTATAATATAATAATATAATAACATGGCCAGGCAGCCCAGAAAACTCACAGCAACCCAATAATAATAATAATAATAATAATAATAATAATAATAATAATAATAATATAGTATAATAAAAATATAATAGTAGTATAATACTACTATTATATTTGGCCATGTTATTATATAATAATATAATAACATGGCCAGGCAGCCCAGAAAACTCACAGCAACCCAAATAACCAACTGGCTCCATGGCATCCTTCAAAGATTTCAAGGTGGCTTACATGTTACGTCTCATTCTTCTCCAAGTCAAACATGCCCAACTCCCTAAATGATTTCTCATAGGTCTTGGTTTCCAGACCTTTGACCTTCTTGGCTGCCCATCTCTTGACCACAAAGGGCATTTGTATCAGTCTGGAAGCCCCCAAATGCTGAAGTGCATAGGACTCTTCCCAAGAAGGAATCCTGCAAGATGACTTTCCAGGCAAATGGACCATATTTGGACCTTCTGACCTGCAAAGAATCACCAAGTTCATCGCCATAAATGGGCAATCACCTCAAACCCACAAAGTCCTTGTGATAGGCGACTGGGTGACCACAACTTCAATCTGTTTACTCTTATGGACTCCAATTCCCAGTGGCATTTCTGGTTCAGCCAACGGTCCAAACCCAGGCAAGCCGGAGGTGGAATTTCTGCAAGGAATTATATTCTCCAAGCGCTGAAAACTGGATCAAGCGTTGGCAAGGATTAAAATGTCTCTTTTCAGGGAGAGAAAATTAAACTGCAGTTCTTGCAAAGCAAAGGGGGAAAAATCAGCTTGCACAGCAGGTATTTAAAAACAAAACAATCCCAATTTAATACCTGCCTCTCCCAGGAGTTGTAGTATTAGACTTCATAATCTTCCTAGGCTCCATTTGAGCCTCCAGAGGTTCAGACAAGCCACTTCCCAGCTGTGTTACGGGTTTAGCTGAGGGTTTAGCTATTTCTGGGCATAGTTTTCAACCCAAGCATTGTTTTATTTTTCTATTCTTCTCTGGAGTTTTTCCAAAAAGGCCTGGACAACTGGAGGTCCTTCGGAAATTCACCCACATTGAGTGGAGCCATGGCCACCTTGATGAGCATGGATTAGCATGAAATCCTTCCAACTCTAGGATTGGATTACTTTAGTCCTAGAGTTGGAAGGGTCCCCCAAATACTATCTTGCTTTTTATTACTTTAGTCTACAGGGACACCTCAGCAAGTGGGAGTCCAAAAGTGGCAGGCTAAAACCCGGAAACTCAATCCATGGCTGATACCAGATGAGAAACTCATGAGACATCTCTAGCCCATCCTCTGTTCAGATATCAACCAGTATGTGAACACCTTGAAACAAGAATTAGCTGTCTAAGATCTACAGGGATACTCACAGGAACACCTCAGCAAGTGAGAGTCCAAAAGTGGCAGGCTAAAACCCGGAACCTCAATCCATGGCTGATACCAGATGAGAGACTCATGAGACATCTCCAGCACATCCTCCGTTCAGATAAAAGCCAGCATGTCAACACCTTGAATCAAGAATTAGCTAAGATCTACAGGGATACTCGCAGGAACTCCTCAGCAAGTGAGAGTCCAAAAGTGGCAGGCTAAAACCGGGAACCTCAATCCATGGCTGATACCAGATGAGAAACTCATGAAACATCTCCTGCCCATCCTCTGTTCAGATATCAACCAGTATGTGAACACCTTGAAACAAGAATTAGCTGTCTAAGATCTACAGGGATACTCACAGGAACACCTCAGCAAGTGAGAGTCCAAAAGTGGCAGGCTAAAAATGGGAACCTCAATCCATGGCTGATACCAGATGGGAGACTCATGAGACATCTCCAGCACATCCTCTTTCAGATATCAGCGAGCATGTCAACACCTTGAATCAAGAATTAGCTAAGATCTATAGGGATACTCGCAGGAACACCTCAGCAAGCAAGAGCCCAAAAGTGGCAGGCTAAAACCCGGAACCTCAATCTATAGCAAATGAGAGACTCCCTCCTGGGCACACAGAAGACTGGGCAACCTGAAGGCCCTGAACAGACTTAGCTCTGGCACCACGAGATGCAGAGCCAACCTTAAAAACTGGGGCCACGAAGTGGAGTCCACGACATGTGGCTGCTTAGAAGAGCAAACCACAGACCACTTACTATGATGCACATGCACAATGGAGGACCTTCTCACAGCGACACCAGAGTCACTCCAAGTGGCCAGCGACTATTCAAAGGACATTTAATATAATGCCAAGTTTTTAAACTTTGTGGTTTTTAAAATTACATTACAACCGTACACTTGGTTTGCTCCTGATATGATAAATAAAATTACTTTAGTATTTTGCCCCCTAGTGGTGTAGTGAGTCAAACCGCTGAGCTGCTGAACTTGCTGACCGAAAGGTCAACAGTACAAATCCGGGGAGCGGGGTGAGCTCCCGCTAGTAGCCCCAGCTCCTGCAAATCTAGCAGTTCGAAAACATGCAAGTGTGAGTAGATCAATAGATACCACTTTGGCGGGAAGGTAATGGCGCTCCATGCAGTCATGCTGGCCACATGACCTTGGAGGTGTCTAGGGACAATGCCAGCTCTTTGGCTTAGAAATGGAGATGAGCACCAGTCCTAGAGTTGGACACAACCGTACTTAATGTCAGGGGAAACCTTTACCTTTACTATTTGGTCGGAATGAACCCTTCTTACACTTACCTCCTCGCTGAAGGCGGTCAGGACCATGGCGTGAGTCATCATGGAGTCCCCAAAGATGAGGCGTTCGTCCTTCTTCAATGTCTTGACCGATACACCGAAGAGCAGCTCATGATTAAATCTACAGGGGTTACAGAAAAGACTATGAGAGCTGTTCAGCAGTGGAACTCCCTGCTCCAGGCTTTTCAACAGAGGCTGAATGGCCATTTGCCAGGGGTGCTTTGAACGTGATTTTCCTGCTTCTTGGCAGAATGGAATTGGACTGGATGGCCCACGCGGTCTCTTCCAAGACTACAACTCCCAGAATCCTCAAATTAGCGTAGTGTAGTCTCAGTTAACTCAAGGACCCAATCATCATCATCATCATCATCACAATCATCATCATAGGCCAGTGTATTCTTGGTTGACTCAAGAACCCATTATTATTATTATTATTATTATTAGTAATAGTAGTAGTAGTAGTAGTAGTAGTAATAGACTAGTGCATTCTCAATTAACTAAATGACCCAATACCAATACTACTACTACTACTACTAACAACAACAACAACAACAACAGGCCAGTGTATTCTTGGTTAACACAAGAACCAATTAATAATAACAATAATAATAATAGACCAGTGCACTCTACATTAATTCAAGGACCCAATACTAATACTAATACTAGTACTAATAATTATAATAGGCCAGTGTGTTCTTGGTTAACTCAAGAACCCATTAATAATAATAATAATAATAATAATAATAATAATAATAATAGACCAGTGCACTATAAATTAACTCAAGAACCGAATATTACTACTACTACTACTACTACTAATAATAATAATAATAATAATAATAGGCCAGTGTATTCTTGGTTAACTCAAGAACACATATAATAATAATAATAATAATAATAATAATAATAATAGACCAGTGCACTCTCAATTAATTCAAGAACCCAACCCTACTACTACTACTACTAATAATAATAATAACAATAATAGGCCAGTGTATTCTTGTTTAACTCAAGAACCCAATAATAATAAAAATAATAATAGACCAGTGCACTCCCAATTAATTCAAGGACCCAATACTAATACTAATACTACTACAAATAATAATAATAGGCCAGTGTGTTCTTGGTTAACTCAAGAACCCATTTAATAATAATAATAATAATAATAATAATAATAATAATAGACCAGTGCACTCTCAATTAACTCAAGGACCCAATACTACTACTACTACTACTACTACTAATAATAATAATAATAATAATAATAATAATAGGCCAGTGTATTCTTGGTTAACTCAAGAACACATTAATAATAATAATAATAATAATAATAATAATAATAATAATAATAATAATAGACCAGTGCACTCTCAATTAATTCAAGAACCCAACCCTACTACTACTACTAATAATAATAATAATAACAATAATAGGCCAGTGTATTCTTGTTTAACTCAAGAACCCAATAATAATAAAAATAATAATAGACCAGTGCACTCCCAATTAATTCAAGGACCCAATACTAATACTACTACAAATAATAATAATAGGCCAGTGTGTTCTTGGTTAACTCAAGAACCCATTAATAATAATAATAATAATAATAATAATAATAATAATAATAGACCAGTGCACTATAAATTAACTCAAGAACCGAATATTACTACTACTACTACTACTACTAATAATAATAATAATAATAGGCCAGTGTATTCTTGGTTAACTCAAGAACACATTAATAATAATAATAATAATAATAATAATAATAATAATAATAATAATAATAGACCAGTGCACTCTCAATTAATTCAAGGACCCAATACTAATACTAATACTACTACTACTACTACTACTACTACTAATAATAATAATAATAATAATAATAGGCCAGTTTGTTCTTGGTCAACTCAAGAACCCATTAATATTAATAATAATAACAACAGACCAGTGCACTCTCAATTAACTCAAGGACCCTACTACTACTACTACTACTACTACTACTACTAATAATAATAATAATAATAATAGGCCAGTGTATTCTTGGTTAACTCAAGAACCCATTAATAATAATAATAACAATAATAATAGACCAATGCACTCTCAATTAACTCAAGGACCTAATACTAATGCTAATAATAATAATAATAATAATAATAATAATAATAAGCTAGTGTATTCTTGGTTAACTCAAGAACCCATTAATAATAATAATAATAATAATAATAATAATAATGGACAAGTGCACTCTCAATTAACTCAAGGACCCAATACTACTACTACTACTACTACTAATAATAATAATAATAATAATAATAGGCCAGTGTATTCTTGGTTAACTCAAGAACCCACTAATAATAATAATGGACCAGTGTGCTCTTTGTTAACACAGGGACTGGGTTATAATGATAATAATAATACTAATAATAAAAAGGATGCTTTGCCCACAACTTACATATTGATGTCATTGATGCCCAGTTTGCTGTTGAAGTGCTTCCCGACGTCACATCCGAACCAAACTGCCTAAAGAGAGAGAAGGAGGGTCCCGAATTCAAGACCCCCAAAGGTTGCGAGAGAACCAAAGGATGGAGAAGAAGAGCAAGCAAAAAGGTCAAACCTCTCCATCACGAATGGATGCCGCCGCCACTCTCTTGAGCAGGTCGATGGGCTGGTTGTTGTAGAGGGTCTTCCTCCCACCAACCATGTTCCCCAAATACTCCACCGTGTAGAGCCGGTTGTACTCGTTCTTGGGCCGAGGGTCGTTCACTAGGCAGACCTGTGCGTCAAAGAAGGAGAAAGGCTACATTGGAGAGGGATATTCCTCTCCACTTTGGACTGCATCAACATCCCAGTGGCTTCTTGTTGCGGGCTTTGAGTTATGGCCATGGCCGACCTTGCTCTCCATGTCAAAGAGGGGCTTGACGTGCTCCTTATAGAAGTCCAGAGGGGAGATGGGGCCGATTTTGTGGTAATTCTTCTCTTTGTCGTAATACTCCCAAGTGAACGTCTTTGGGGGGCTGCCCAGGCAGATGGTGACCACTCTGAAGACCTGGAAGGAGGAGAGAAAACATCAAGTTCTGGCCTTCAACTGGTCATGACTCTATTCATTTTTGTGTTACGTTAAAACATTCTAGCATGGCGTGGATTTATTGCTCTCTTTACTTCCTATCAGTTGGATTTGCCTTATTACTGTGGATTTCTTTTAGTGCTTTGGCTTTTACTACTTTCAATAAACTGCTTGCTATTTTAACTCAACTGTGTGGTGTTGGGAGTCAGAGGGAATCCTGCTCTGGAGTACGACAGCATCGACAAGTCAGTGTTCCAGTTTCCTTTGCTCCTGTTCCTCGTCTCTCTTCCTTTTTAATGAGAGATCATAGAATCATAGAGTTTGACGAGACCTCATGGGCCATCCAGTCCAACCCCCTGCCAAGAAGAAGGAAAATCGGGGGGTGCTTTGAATGCAATTTTCCTGCTTCTTGGCACAGGGTTGGACTTGATTTTATTTGTCGTGTCAGGGCAACCAGTCCATTCTATTACATTTCTAACAGAACAAAACAAACAAACAGAGAAAATACAAAATGTGTGAGTTTGGTAGTGGATTAAATGTCCTTTGACCAGTATCTGGCCACTTGGAGTGCCTCTGGTGTTGCCGCAAGGAGGTCCTCCATTGTGCATGTGGCAGGGCTCAGGGTGCATTGCAGCAGGTGGTCAGTGGTTTGCTCTTCTCCACACTCGCATGTCGTGGATTCCACTTTGTAGCCCCATTTCTGAAGGTTGGCTCTGCATCCGAGCGCAGTCTGTTCAACGCCTTCCAAGTCGCCCAGTCCTCTGTGTGCCCAGGGGGGAGTCTCTCATTTGGTATCAGCCATTGGTTGAGGTTCTGGGTTTGAGCCTGCCACTTTTGGACTCTCGCTTGCTGAGGTTCCAGCGAGTGTCTCTGTAGATCTTAGAAAACTATGTCTTGATTTAAGTCGTTGACGTGCTGGCTGATACCCAAACAGGGAATGAGCTGGAGATGTCTCTGCCTTGGTCCTTTCACTATTGGCTGCTACTTCCCGGCGGATGTCAGGTGGTGCAATACCGGCTAAGCAGTGTAATTTCTCCAGTGGTGTAGGGCGCAGACCCCCGTGATAATGCGGCATGTCTCATTAAGAGCCACATCCACTGTTTTAGTGTGGTGAGATGTGTTCCATACTGGGCATGCATACTCAGCAGCAGAGTAGCACAGCGCAAGGACAGATGTCTTCACTGTATCTGGTTGTGATCCCCAGGTTGTGCCAGTCAGCTTTCGTATGATAGTTGGACTTGATGGCCCATGAGGTCTCTTCCAACTCTAGGATTCTATGATCTCGCATTAAATGCTGTTGTACTCCACAGCAGGATTCCGTCTGACTCCTGACACCACACAATTGAATTAAAATGGCAAGCAGTTTACTGAAGATAGTAAAAGACAAAGCAGTAAAAGTAATCCACGGTAAAATGGCGAACCCAATTGATAAGAAGTAAAAAGAGCAATAATTCCACAGAGAAACAGCTCCAAGAAAGTCCATTAAACCAGGGTCTTGATTTCAAAGACAAAAACAACAGCAAAGGCACTTAAACAAGAATCAAACAAAGACCAAGGCCGAGGAACATGGCATGGAGAACTATTTGTGAATCCAACATTGCTTCGTCTGAAGCTAGACTCCCTATTTGGCACTATATATCTACTTTGTTTCCCAAACAGCTAGGAGCGGATTTGTCCTTAGTTGTGGTTTCTCTACTTGCTTCTGCTCTAATCTGGTTGAGCACCTTAGTTTCTGATTCGTTTGTCTCTGCTGGCTAAAAGCTCTTCCTCTGTTCAAGGCTTCATTAAAATCTGACCTTGAGGATCCCTTTGCAGCTACACAGGCCGGTCTAAGCCATCAACTGAACTGCATTCAGGCCCCACATCCCTAAAACTAGGCCCAGGAAACAGACCATCATCCCCATTTCCTTCAGGAACACCTTCATGAACACCATCCCCATTCTCATCATGCAACCTGATCATTAGACACAATCACAGGCTGACATACAACATATACTGTTATGTATTGAATGAAGCAAAATGGCACTGAAAGCTAAGTTTAGTGTAGTGAGATGTGTTCCACATTGAGCATGCTTATTTAGCATTGAGGAAACCAAAGTGCTCTTCCAGCAAAAGTCACCAGCCAATCCCTCTCCAATGCCAGAGATGCAGCTTAATGGTGTGACATTAGAAAACGTTGACCATTTCCGCTCCCTTGGCAGCCGCCTCTCCACCAAAGTCAACATTGGCATTGAAATACAACACCGCCTGAGCTCTGCGAGTGCAGCATTTTTCCGAATGAAGCAAAGAGTGTTTGAGGACCGAGACATCCATAGGGATACCAAGGGGATTGTCTATAAAGCTATTCCCCTCCCAACCCTGCTATATGCCTGTGAGAAGTGGACTGTCTACAGATGCCACATGTGATTCCATCAGCGCTGCCTCTGGAAAATCCTGCAAATCTCTTGGGAAGACAGGCGGACAAACGTCAGCGTGCTGGAAGAAGCAAAGACCACCAGCACTGAAGTGATGGTCCTCCGCCATCAACTCGCTGGACCGGCCATGTTGCCCGGATGCCCGACCACCGTCTCCCAAAGCAGCTGCTCTACTCCAAACTCAAGAATGGAAAACGGAATGTTGGAGGACAGGAAAAGAGATTTAAAGATGGGCTCAAAGCCAACCTTAAAAACTCTGGCATAGACACTGAGAACTGGGAAGCCCTGGCCCTTGAGCGCTCCAGCTGGAGGTCAGCTGTGACCAGCAGTTCTGTAGAATTTGAAGAGGCACGAATGGAGGGCGAAAGAGAGAAACGTGCCAAGAGGAAGGCGCATCAAGCCAACCCCGACTGGGACCGCCTTCCACCTGGAAACTGATGCCCTCACTGCGGGAGAACATGCAGGTCAAGAATAGGGCTCCACAGTCACCTACGGACCCACTCTGGAGGATTATGCTACTCGGACAACGAGGGATCGCCTAAGTAAGTAAGTACATTATATTATATTCTGGCCACCACAATTGAAGAGAGATATTGACAAGCTGGTGAGATGTGTTCCACACTGGGCATGCATACTCAGCAGCAGAGTAGCAAAGCACAAGGGCTGATGTCTTCACTGTGTCTGGTTGTGATCCCCAGGCTGTGCCAGTCCGCTTTCGTATGATATTGTTTCTAGCACCCACTTTTTGCTTGGTAGTCAAGCAGTGCTTCTTGTAGGTCAGAGAACAGTCCAGGAGTAACAAACACAGGATTACAATATTTTTCTCACGCCAAGAGGCCAGGCGAATGGGCACATGTGCAGTAGCAAGGGACGGGGGCATCCTTGCTGAACCGATTAGATCAAACTGTACACAAACTGTGTTTTAGTGTACATTGGACGGACAGAGGACGAACGTGTACTTCCATTAAATAATACATAGCAGCAAATGAGCTGGACGGTCCAGGTCAGCAAAGCATGGAGTGCTCGCTCGCCTCTGGGACCAGATCGTTCCCCAAGATTACATGGAAGGAGAGAATAGGCAAGAGGCTCGGCATGCAAAAACCAATGGTGCAAAAACGCCAAGCCATTTGCATTGCCTTTGCTGCCCCCTGGCGTGGCATCCCAGTTCACACATCTGGTCAACACAAGGCCAGGAAATCGCACCACGAGAAAGAGAACTCCTAAAACTAAAAATACCCCAAAATGATTATTTCAGCACTGCTTGAAAGTCAACAAAGTCATGGCAACTAAATATTCTCGATGCACAGGAGGACACAGATACCTCTCAACAACAGTATGTAGCTCACCCTCCATGGACACTAAAAGTTTCATGCCATGTACTCTATTTATTGAGTAAACCGCTGAGCTGCTGAACTTGCTGACCAAAAGGTCACCGGTTCGAATCTGAAGAGCGGGGTGAGCTCCCACTGTTAGCCCCAGCTTCTGCCAACCTAGCAGTTCCAAAACATGCTAATGGGAGTAGATCAATAGGGACGGTAACAGCACTCCATGCAGTCCACATGACCTTGGAGGTGTCTACGGACAACGCCGGCTCTTATGCTTAGAAATGGAAATGAGCACCAGAGTCGCAGAGTTGGACTCGACTGGACTTAATGTCAGCGGAACACCTTTAGCTTGGGAGCCCCCAGTGATACAGCAGATTAAACTGCTGAGCTGCTGAACTTGCTGACTAAAAGGTCACAGGTTTGATTCTGGGGAGCAGGGTGAGCTCCCAGTGTTAGGCTCAGCTTCTGCCAACCTAGCAGTTCCAAAACATGCAAATATGAATAGATCAATAGGGAAGGTAACAGCACTGCATGTAGTCAGGCCAGTAGCCACATGACCTTGGAGGCGTCTTCAGCTTAGAATCCGGGGAGCAGGGTGAGCTCCTGCTGTTAGCCCCAGCTCCTGCCAACCTAGCAGTTAGAAATGGAGATGAGCACCAGAGCACCAGAGTCGGACTCAACTGGACTTAATGTCAGGGGAACACCTTTACCTTGGGAGCCCCAAGTGGTGCAGCAGATTAAACTGCTGAGCTGCTGAACTTGCTGACCAAAAGGCCACAGGTTGGATTCCGGGGAGCAGGGTAAGCTCCCACTGTTAGGCCCAGCTTCTGACAAATCTAGCAGTTCCAAAACATGCAAATGTGAGTAGATCAATAGGTACTGCTTTGGTGGGAAGGTAACGGCGCTCCCTTACTCCATCTACACTGCTATATGAAATCCAAATGATCTGCTTTCAACTGGATTATCGGTCAGACAGCAAGCTATTTAACCTCAACAGACTGAAAGCCAAAACCAAGGGCACAAAAACATCAGTTATAGAACTCCAATATGCCGATGATAATGTAGTCTGTTAGGCCCAGCTTCTGCCAACCTAGCAGTTCCAAAACATGCAAAGGGGAGTAAATAAATAGGGAAGGTATGGACGCTCCATGAAGTCATGCTGGCCACATGACCTTGGAGGTGTCTATGGACAATGCCAGCTCCTGGGCTAAGAAATGGAAATGAGCACCAGTTGGACACGACTGGACTTAACGTCAGGGGAAAACCTTTACCGACCTTTGACCTACACTATTTATGACGGTTTCACTAAACCTACACCTCACCTCTTCAATCATGGCGTCCTTGGCCGCACAGAGCTCATCCTCGTTGCATCCGGTCTCCACCATGTTGCGTAGCCGGTGGCAATACTCCCGCATCTGTTCAGAAAAATAGAGAAGTTCAGAGTTACTCTAAAGAGCGTGCTGGAAGAAGCAAAGACCGCCAGCATTGAAGCGATGCTCCTCCCCCAAACCCTTCTACTGTTTTCTGTTGGTATTGGAAGTCCTGTGTGCCAAGCCTGGTTCAATTCCATCGTTAGTGGAGTTCAGAATGCTCTTTGATTGTAGGAGAACTATAAATCTCAGCAACTACAACTCCCAAATGTCAAGTGTTGAGTGATGGTCACTCATTGGGTTGTTAGGCATAT